AAAAAAAAAAAAAAAAAAAAAAAAAAAAAAAAAAAAAAAAAAAAAAAAAACCTCTATGACACATTTTTTTTTTGCTTAACCTTATTCCTATGTTAGCTTTCTGTTCCTACCTCTTATGCTAAATGGGTCGGTGCCAACCTGTGTCTTAAATCAGCCATAAGATACCCTCAAAACAATTATTTATCATCCAATTTGTTTCTTACCTCTTGGTTATCTTGTTAAGCTTCCTTATCCATGAAAAGATTGGTTTTAATATTTTTGGTGTGGCTTTCTGGACGTTTCTTTTGACAGCATACCTCTTGTTTTCAATAAAAAATTATGGTAAAATAAACCTCAAGAGAATTATATAAATAAAGTGAATTGGTCTTATCTTGCCTTACATGTATGGGCATGCCTTGCCTAGTGAAAAATAAATAAATAATTTATTTTGTTTAAATACAGGTTCCTGAAAAGTCAAAAAACCTTGATGCAGTACACAAATTCATGTGGTGCTTTTATGCATTGTAAACTTACAAACGGGTCGGTGCCGACCCTAACACAGTAGCAAGGTTAACCAAATTCCCAAGCCCATTTTCTATACTAAACATGTGCTCTCATCTCATGCACTATGATTGGTGTGTCATATAATATTATATTCAAATTTTACTTAAGATATTTTCAACTTATGATGGGTACATTGGAACATAACTTGAGGAGCATCTGTATTGACATCTAAGCCTGTATTTTGCAAAATTTATTGACTCCACTCAGTAATATAACACATCCTCATTTATTAAACGTTACATAGCTAAACCATGAATGTGTTATATATTAATTAAGTGTGTATGATCTTTTTAATTTTTTTATTTTCAGGATACCATATACAACTTGCAGAGAATGCAGTTAATTTATTGAGCTTTGTATAGCAGTTCTGTGGATTCTTTTACCCTCATGGAGATGCCTTGACTGCATTTTCTCTGGCTGTTGGATGAGAACTGCCACAGTGGTAGGAGCAGACACATCTGCCAGACGCCTCCAATCCTGCTTCCTGGACTCTGGCTGTAAAAACCATGGCAGCAAACTGTTACAAATTAGCACATCACCGTAATTACTTAAAGACTATGCAATTTTAGTAGGAATGGGACTTTGCAATAAAATGTTAGCACAAATATAAATAAAAATAAACATTTTTCAGTAACACTTTATATTGACTTTCACAAATATTATATAACACTTAACAGATTACTAGTTCATGTACTTTCAAATACTTAAAAATGTTATAAAATGATCATGTATTATTGGTATCTACAAAGGCAACCTACCGTCAGCCTTCAACACTGGAAATCTTAGTTCTTTATTTTCAAATTATTACGTCTATAACTATATTTTTCTTTTAATAATTTGATTTTTCAGGTAACACAGGTTTTACTTGTGAGTTAGCATTACAGTAAATGTATCATCTGAAATTTTTTTTGCAGAAAATTGCACTTGTAAATTGCTTGTTATTTTGTAGAAAAATGTATTTTTGGTTGAGGTAGTAGTAGTCTGGAAATGTTACTGACAAACATGGAGTTTTGGTATGGTGGTGTTCTTTTGGTATTATTTTGCACTATAAGCATGCAGCTAAAGTTTTTAATCAACCATTCCTAATGACACATTGACCAAAGTGAAGTGACAAACTTTGTCACTTCAAAACTCAATGTTAATCAGTTTATATATAAATATTTTGCTTAAACATTCATAACTTTTATGCTTATAGCTTTCAGTACTTCCCTTGTTCACTGCATAGACTATTTCTGAAAGTTGTGGAAAATAAAAAGATTTGTGTACCTACAGAAACATGTTTTGAATTCAATTGTATTTCAGTGTCTACTAAAGGTACATCTGGAATACCATCTACTCATTTTGATCAAAGTCTTTGATTTATCTGTGACCTTTCAATTATTCTTATCAGACATTAGAACATATTCCCCTAGGTAATCATTAACTTCACTACAAACCCAAGCGTAAAACACATCTCTTTTTACTGACTGTTTGCAGTCACTTTCTCATGGGAACAAAGTTCTGTCTGAACAATTCATGCAGAAATTAACCCTAGAGTGGAATGATCTTGAATTCCATTCTATTTCACGTAGATGTAAGAATGATCAGGTTCTTGTTTTTTTTCCATTTCACTACAGGCATATTCATATTTTTCAGTGATAAGGAATCAATAAAGAACTATGTTGTGTTTAAAAAGTCTATCTACGGAAGTTCCGCTATCAAAGTCATTCTTGAGTCACTATTCATCTATCCATTTTATCCTGGTCAGGGTCATAGAACACTGTATTGCAGTACACTTACATTATGGGATATTCAGTAATACCTTACTATATGCCTATGGAATGCTGGGTGAAACCACACAGTGAGAATATGCAAACTCCATACATACAATGGAGGTAGAATTCAAACCTCCAACCCAGAAGGCATGATGCTACCCATTAAGTTACTGTGCTGCTTTTGGGTTGGCAGTCAACTAAGAATATTAATAACAGACACCAGTTGTATAAATGTTTCACTTGCTGAAAATAGATAATTGACTCTGCAAGTGGAACTTGAGTAGTTTTTTCTGTAAAGATGTAAATTATAGTAAATTTAAATGATAAAGAGCCTTTATGTTGATAAAAGTAATTCCAATAAAATCCAGTGTGCAAGATGGATGGGATGCCATTCCACAACAGGGTATGTTCACATTCACACTGCATGCACAATTTAGAGATGCCAATTCATCTAACTGCATAATCAAAAAATCCAGAGACTTGCAGCTGAAAATTTTAAAAGTGACTGGATGTTAATTGGTCCTTAGTGCTGGTTTGCAGGTCCAGGGTCCCACACCATTAATCTAAGGCAGAGTCCAGTTTAACTAAATGGCTAGTGAAAATTAGTGTTATTATAACACAAAAACTGTTTTGTCAAAGAGGCCCCACAGTTACTTACTCACCATAAAGTTGACCCAGTTTCTAAACACAACAAAATAATCTGATGTACAATTACTGCTACAGAATACATATCTATCGGGAGCACCACACACCCCTTTCCAGTGACCTTATGATCCCTCACGCTCTTCCAATCCATCTGTTGACCTCATAGGAAGAGTCACCAGATACATGAATGTCGCTGCCGAGGTAGGTAAATCACTCGACAAGGTCAATATTCTCCCCGCAAACAGACACACTACTGATGGCTGTGTCTAAGAAGTCATTAAATGCTTGGATCTTGGTCTTTATCCAGGACACCCACAATCCCAGACACTCAGACTCCTCACTCAGTCTCTGGAGAGCCCCAATCAGAGCCTCCATTGACTCCGCTAAGATCACAGCATCATAGCAAAGTCAAGATCAGTAAATCTTTCTTCACCAACAGATGCACCACAGCCACTGGACCCCATGACCCTGCCCAACACCCAGTCCATACAAGCATTGAACAGAGTAGGATCAAAAACACACCCCTGGAGTACTCCAGAATCAACTGGGAAGAACACAGAGGTTCTCCCTCCACTCTGCACAGCACTCACAGTACCAGTGTACTGCTGCAAAGAACCTCTGCCGATATTTGTGCTTGCGCTCGATGAGAACCTCTAGGTCTGAGGCCATGGTTCTCAACCAGAAAAGGGTGCATTGCCCCCTCCTGGTGGGGGATGAATCACTGCCTCAAGTGGAGAAGTTTAAGTTTCTCAGGGTCTTATTCACAAGTGAGAGAAGAAGGGAGCTGACAGATCAGTGCAGCGTTGGCAGTAATGGGGATGCTGTACCGTTCTGTCATGGCAAAGAGAGAGCTGACCCAGAAGGCAAAGCTATCGATTTACCGGTTGATCTATGTTCCTACCCTCACTTATGGTCACCAGCTTTGGGTAGTGACCGAAAGAATGAGAGCAGAAATCAGATTCCTTCGCTGGGTGTCTGCACTCAGCCTTACAGATAAGCAGTAGATAATGGATGAAAGGATGGATGGATGGATAGATGGATGGATGGGTTTTACTAGCTGTGCATCCTACAACATTACTGCCTCACTCATACATTAATACCCAAAAATGACTTACGGTAAAGTATAAGAATGACAAATGAAAGCAAAAATGATAAAGTTTAAACTTTAAATGAGTTACAAATACAAAAACTAAAATTAAAAAACATACCTTTTTAGAATATTTGTGTGAATGTCCATGTAAAATGCCAAAAGTCTTGTGTTTTGTTTGGGTACTAATGGTTAATGTTAGGGTTGGGTAGGGGTTAAGGTTGTCCCTACAAAGATATGAATACAAACGTGTATGTGTGTGAGTGTGTGTGTGTGTGTTATACCCTGTCTTGGACCCATAGTTTTTTGAATGGGCTCCAGACCCCCACAACCCTGCATAGAACAAGTGTGTACAGAAAATTAATGGATGGATGGATGGTTTTAAAGTATTTAGTCTACGCAAGAACAATATAAATATTAACAAGCAGACATAAATCAAATCATACACAAACATGGAAATAAATCAGCGGGTAGTGCATGCGCATTTACGTAGTGAAAGTCCAGTGCTAGGCCTATCTGTTGTGAAGATGAAATATTCCTGACCTGTGTTATGGTTAAAATTAAATAAAATATGCTTTGATTTATTATGACCAACCTCCTATAAAAACAGTTTATATCAATTTTTTTTAATCATATATAAGCACAGTACTTAGGCTTATAAGCTATATACTGAAACTTTTCATAACGAGGGAAGAAATGAAGCTACAAAACATTTTCTTTTAAAAAAACAATTCGTTGTAATTGTAAAAAGTAACAATAAACAGATGCCTGATGAAGCATCAAGATAATCACAATTTCACAATACCGTCATAGAATTATTCAACACAGCCATTAACTAGCTATCATTTACGACGATTTTCACTAGTTGGTTCAAACTTTAAGAGTATAAGTATAACAACATATAACATAATTTAACTAAACTAATATCTAATAACTAACAGCAACTGACCAGAAAACAAAGCTGTTAGCTGCTTGAATGACCAAGCTAGCAGAAAAATACATGCGCTCTACTCAGTTATATCACCACTCACCGTACTACAGAAGAATATCATGAAAACATAAAACATACAAACTTACAAACTATTGTTTTTAATTAATTTATTTATAGTCGATTGGTAATACAGAGAAAAATACTTGAATACCTGTGTAGTAGCAAGACCGCGCTAATCCAGTGTATACTACCGTCACCATGGTGACCTTCAGTTTTCCTGGGCGTTTACCAAAGCGCTCTTATTCGGTGTCCAACAAACTCCTTTTAACCAGCTAAAACCTCCTTAAAGCTTAGTGCTTAAGGTGTCATTACACAATATATGTATAATTCGTAAATTATACCGATATAACATCCCCACTGAGACAACGTCGCCGTTGTTATTATCAATACCATATGTTACAGCAGACGTGGGAAGTTCAGGTTCAGAAAGTACAAATCCAAATTAATATTTCGACCAACCAACTGAATACTCTGTTAATGTGACTCTTGATACTGAACTGGTTGGTTGAAACAAAATATTAATCTGGATTTGTACTCTCTGAACCTGAACTTAACACCTCTGCGCAATAGGACTGTATAGCCTATAATTATTCATATTGCTCAAGGATTCGAGGGTTTTACTTCTTATGTGTAACGTACATAGTCAGACTATAACCTGCAGTTAAATGCAAGATTCTTGAAAATACATATTTGATATTTTTCTGTCATTGCTCAGGGAATATTTCTCGGTGAACTGCATATTGCATTTCCGTGTACCTATTGTGTACAATTCCAATTCCATGTCTATTCAAATCTTTGAAGCTCAGAAAAACATAAATTTCACGATCAAAAATATACATTTTTTAATAAATAAGGTCTTTATTATTGAAGGATGGCTTACAGTGGCTAAAAATAAGTATGAAGAATTACAATGGACTTACAGTGACTATAAATAGGCTAAGTATGGATAATTACAATGTAGGCTAATCAAATTTAAATCTTGGTAAAACCCAAAACAGAAAGCGTAAGGCACCAAAATGGGTGTGCCCAGGGCAGACCGACAATCAAATTGCATTACATTTCACATGACGTATACGTGAGTTACACATAACATAATATGAGTTTTCTGCAGCAAAATGCGTTAGCAAATTAAATCAGAAAAATAAATTAGCCGCGGTTCTATTCTGCCAAATGCATATGCTTCAGTGTCGAAATATTAACCTCTGCATTTAAGCAAAATCCGTAAATCAAGAATAAAATATATTCTAGAACGGGCTGATTACAAAAATAAGATTCCATAAATGGAAGTACGTATATGCATAGCCTGAGGCAACTGAGGAAATCGATGCGGTGTCTGAATGGTTTTCTTTTAATGTAGTTTGAGCAACTATGGACGCAAACTCAGTATTCCGTAAATGATGGAACGAAAGTTGTAGGCTGTTCATCAGCGAAGAACGGTTGTCGGGATCTTCACTTCCGTAAACGCTCGGTTGCTTCAGTATCAATAATTGTTGAACTTCTTCTGGCGGTTTACAGAAGGTACCATTAATTATTTAATACGCAACACAGCATGTATGCGTAGATGAAAAGAAAAAAAAACTAGGCATTAAATCGCTACCCAGAGTAAACCTGTTTTTTTTCCAGCGAAAAAAGAGAAGATAACGGGCATGATGGGGAAACTTGCTCTACTGACTGTTATTCTTGACGTTTATGCACAGGTAGGTACATTTAATTAATTCAATAAATGGTAACTGCGTTTGCTTGTTTGGTTCCGTATAGGATTTAAATTCTCCGTAGAGAAAAGGGGGATTTTATCGTTTTGTTAAGTCTTATATTTTTGTGCCTATCTGATGTTCATTACTAAACAAGCATAGACAAAAAATCTGTACAGAAATTCACTCGGTATTTCAAACTTATATATGACAATGTGTATTTTACAGGTATTGTACTGTATTATCTGTATTTCATAACTGAATTTGCAGAACCTTTTTTGAAATTAATTTCTAATCATAAATCACAGATAAAAGCTCTTCCTCCAGAATGTGATCCTTATATTATTCTTCTCAAAGAAGAGGAAAACTGCCATAAGGAGTTGTGGAAACACAACACATCAATCTCTGTCGATTTCCAAACAGGTATGTGTATATATAAGAACCTTGTTCAGAACAGTGACACCATTTAAATGACAAAATGTATTTTGTGAAATGTTTATGAAGATTATTAGAAACGTTCATATGGACTCGCTATCGACATGGATATGTTTGAAAGACATACATACTGACAACTGAAATTTTTATGAAGGATCACATTCTATACTAAATAAGGAGCCATTGAACATGATTTGTAAAGTTTAGAAATAAAATGTATTTTTTTCCATATGGAACTGACTCATAGCAGTTTCACTAGATTAAAACAGATAATGTTATATTTTGCAATATATCATGTTTTGGAGACCATTATTTTTTATTTAGAATATTGCAGGACACAGCAATTGGGAGTATATGATATCATCTTTCGTTGGGACTGCAAACCCAACCAAGTAACATAGAAATTTGAGAACGAATGAAACGTGTATTGTTGTAGTTTGTTCCATTTATAGTGATACAATGAGGGATTGACCCAAAATATAAAGTAGGCACTTTGACAGGGAATAAAACAAATTCACCCAAACCTGTCATGTGGGTTGGGACGAATGAAGCATACACTGCAAGCAGTGATTACAGGAGCCAGGATAGTCATCAACATTGTTGTCCTGGTTACTAGGGGCAACGCAAAACAAATCAAGCCAGTATATACAAATCACCTCACGAGAGAGGAAGTTATAAAAAAGTGAAAAAAAAATAGTGATCCTAAGGCCAAGTAAACCAATCATTACTGTCCATCATCTGGTGGAGACACTGAAACAGGGTATGGCCAGGACAGAGGGCAAAGAGCCAATGAAGAGATTATAGCCGATGGATAGAACTACTCATTTGATGGCTAAGCATTTCTATCTTACGATGATGTCCCGAGTTAAGTGTGGTGAGTTAAGTATGGCTGAACAAATGACAATTACGATAACCCTGTTCAGAGATATACCTCAATAACCAACAACACTGCTTGGCAGTGTTTCATCCAGTGGAACAGAATTGGTGCTCATTTTCATTCTAATCCAAATTAATTACCTGCTTTTTGCATTTTCTACTGATTTATTCTATGAGGATCCCCAGATATTGGATGAACAACTGGCAAATCACACATTTCACGACATAGAGAAAGTCAGTGTTATGTTTGTAGTGTATTAGGAGTACATTTCATGAATGCCTGTATGTTATAAGTCTGTGATGAAATTGGTTTTGTTTTCAGGATGCAAAGGGATGTGGGACCATCTTAACTGTTGGCCCTATGCAAACATAGGGGAGACCATATCACAGCCCTGTCCAACATTCCTCCACACCAATGGTAAGAAAGAAGTCCCAGAATGCATTGTTGGTTTTAATTAGTGCACCAGGTTCACATTTGGCTTTTATTTTGAAGTCATTAAGAGGAAGCATGTAGTTACACTTAAATCCAGTAACTTTTGTTGAATTTACAGCCTGACATTGAAACATATTACATTATTTATGCATTTATACACAATTTAATCTACAATATTTATGTTAAAACTAAAAGCTAACATTATAAATAATAATAATAATAAACTAATAAAATCTGGTCGGGTAATTGTACACCACCCCAAAAATACTTTTAATGGGAGATACAAATTGCCAAATACATATTGAAAAAAACTATTTTGCCCTATGCCAGAAAACTGAAATTGGGAAAGAAGTTTATCTTTGCAAGATTTTCTCAATATGCTCAGTAAACAGATTTATGTTATATTAGGTTTAGAGGAAAGAAGGAGAACTTTTACTTAGGGTAATGGGTTTTACAACACGGATGTATACAATCAGCTCTCTGTATCCATGGGGGATTGGTTCCAGGACCCCCTGCAGATACCAAAATCCGCGGATGCTGAAGTCCTTTATATGAAATGGCGTAGTATTTGCATATAACTAACACACATCCTCACTTATACTTTAAATTCTCCCTAGATTTCATATAATACCAAATACAATGCAAATGCTATGTAAAGAGTTGTTATACTGTATTTAGGGAATAATTACAAGAGGAAAAAGTCTGTACATTTTCAGTACAGGCACAACCAGATAGACCTAACTACATAGCACACGTCAAGAATAATACAACATTTTCTTTCTTTAAACACTTACAAATAACTTTCATTTAATGACCTGAAAGAGAAATACAAATAGTAAAACAGAATATTTAAAATATAAGTACATGTAAAAAATCTAGTCCTAAATAGAGAAAATATAAATGTAGTCATTCATTCTCTCTCTCACTGTCTCTGTGAGTGGAAGGTGACAGCAGGTCATACCTAGAGATCACTTCTTTCGCATAGATGCAGCATAGTGCTCAGTGCATGGCAAATTCTAGTTTTACTTTTTGAAACTTTGTTTTTTTTTCTCAAATATTTTAGATCCACAGTTGGTTGAATCAGCGGATATGGGAGGTAGATTGGACTGACTTTTGGCTCAGAGAAGAATAGAGTAGAGCTTGATGCATAGTGTGTGTCATGACACATTACTTCCAGGACCATCATTATAATTGTTTGCAATTGGTGCCAGAGTAGCACTCCTGTTTGAATGTACCAGATGGGATAGCCTTTGGACATATCTCACATTGATGAGTCCTTGCTGAAAGACCCCTTGTCAGTGGTTTGTGGTTTTCACTCCTCAGACCACTCTCAGTAAGTACTCGCCAAGGCAGACCATGAGCACCCTACAAGCCTTGCTGTTTCAGAGATGCTCTGACCCAGTCATCTGGCTATAACAATTTGGCTTATCAAAGTCACTCAGGTCTTTATTCCTTCCTATTACTTTTGCATTCAACCTGTCAACTATGAGTACTAAATGTTGGCTGACCATGTAATATATCCCAGACCTTGAACTGAGCTGTTTTTAACAAGATAAACGTTATTCACATTGGGTGTGCGGGTGGTCATAATGTTTTGGCTTATCGGTGTATGAACGTATGAAATGTTTTCTTTCATTTCCAGGGGAGGTTTTTAGGAACTGCACTACCCAGGGCTGGACAGAACCCTACCCACCGCATGAGATAGCCTGTGAATATGCCTTCAATGACAACTTCACCTTTCTTGGGGAAGTAGGTGGCAGATTTATTTGAAGGAAAAGATATCTATTAAAAAATGTTAATTTATGCAAACAAATTTAATATAATTAAAGAAAGCAAAATGAAAAATGAAGGGAAAAATCATCATGTGTTGTTTGCACTTCTGACAGACTAACAAAAGACAAGCTAAATGTTAACAGAGCATTAACAAAATAAAACAAGCATGTTAAATGAACCATTAAACATAATTAACGTCTCCTGTCTATATTCTGAAACATTAGCGTTTAAACAAAAATTCTCCACTTCCAATGAGATTTCTATCCGAAGGCAGTAAAATTTAATCAACTGAGTAAAATTAAAAATTTATTTTGAGTAATATGGGTGAAATAAAGCAGAGGGAACAGTGGAAGATTCAGAGCGCAGTGCCAAAACGTTCATCCATAAGACAACAAGCATGTTTTCTTTTCTTGGACAGGTTCACAGCCATCTCTATTTTCTCTATGTGAAGACCATGTACACAGTGGGCTATGCCATCTCCCTCATGTCCCTGAGCATTGCCATAGTAATACTTTGTGTGTTTAGGTGAGCCGTTTTCAGTCTTGCTTTGTTTTTAACATTCCTTTGTTATTATTCAGCTTGTCATCTCTTTCTGCAATGCTAAAATAGACAACTAAAAGTAGTTCCATACTTTTTTCAATGCAGGAAGCTACACTGTACGCGTAACTACATTCACATCCAGTTGTTCCTGTCCTTCATCTTACGTGCAGCTTTCATCTTTATCAAGGACTCGGTCCTTTTTTCTAAAGAAGACTTTTACCACTGCAACTACTATCCTGTATGTACAATCATTTTATATTTAACTCCATCGAGCCTTGAGTCCACATATTGAACATCTGTTTTAGGAAACAACACAATATTCTGTAACTTTCTGATTGTATATCAATGATGTTATAACAGGTTGCTAACTGCAGTAGATGTTTACTAATTATTTGTTTTTCTTTGAGCAAAGGACCATTCAGGAAAACAAATGAGCTAACTGGTATGAACTTAAGACACTCTTTTTCCCTCCCATAGGTAGGCTGCAAGCTTGTCTTGCTGTCATCACACTACTGCATCATGGCCAACTACAGCTGGTTGTTGGTAGAGGGTCACTACCTTCACACTCTAGTCTATGTCTCATTCTTCTCCAGGAGATTGTACTTTTGGTTGTACATGACCCTAGGCTGGGGTAAGTTGACTGGTCTTCATTTAGGCTATTTTTATGACTCTTTCTGTTCTGCCTCTTTGAGAACACAAGTTTCTGCATTAAAATTGGATTTATAGAATTTACATCCAACTTGTTCAGAATTTCTATTTCTTTATCCTATATCTTTTCTTAACCTTGGATTCATGTCTTCTCTTCTCATCTGATATCTCTTAACCAGTATTTTTCAAGTTTGATGATCTACTGTCTGTAAGACATCTCTTAAAATAATCAATATTCAGAAAGTTTATCTGCATCAATTATCTGCAGGGTCACCGGCAGTCATCATAGTTGCCTGGGGCTTGGCAAAATACTTCTATGAAGATGAAGGGTAAATTTCAAGCATAACACTCATTGGTTTAGGTAACCTTACTTGTGTTCAATCAACAATGAGCATTGCTTGTTTTCTGTGGCATGTCAAAGATGTTGGGAAACCAGGAAACACACCTGGATCTGGTGGATTCTCAGAGTCCCTGTCCTCCTGTTCATCATTGTAAGTATGGGAAATTTCATAATTTTATACATAAACTATGCATATACAGACACATAAAGAAAATATGTAAAACACCTTTGTTGTTGGATTTCTTGATGTAAGTTGTAGGAAAAAAAAACAAGAAAACTAAAACGTTCACAGGTTAAAAAAAACTGGGAAAAAAAGGGAATTTAGTTGGCTAATCACAAGAGATCTGGAGTATTTTTACTGATAAATACTATGTATTTCCGATTTTCCGCTTTTAAAAATGTAAATTTTTGTAAACTACTAAAAAAAATCATATAACAAAACCATGAAATCATGTAATAAAGGAATATAGCCATAAAATGTTTTTCGTTCCTTTGTCATATGTCTAAGTTCATAAATTGACAAAAGAGTGAGAGAAGGAAACACAAAAAAGAGGAAGTAACATGCTTGCATAAAAATGGCCGGGAATTATCTTTATATAAATATTTGTCCATTTAAACAAACCTGATTGAGACTAGAAACACCTGAATGTTTACATATGTTTAATGCAAACTGGCAAATGTGTGAAAATGGAAGCACAAAAAATGTTCTGTTTTACAGTTCACATTTCTTCTGTTTGCAGATTAATTTGTTGTTTTTCATTAGTATTACAAGAACACTAGTAGGAAAACTCAGGACCCCAGATGTGCGTGGGAATGAGTACAATCAGTATAAGTAAGTTGTTGTCTTTCAGGTGTTTGCATGTCACATTTTAATGATATTTTTATTTTTTCCAATATTCTGCTAAACACTGACAAATTCATAGAACAACAAAACGTTGACATTGGATTTCTATGTATTCAGAGTAAGCTTTGTTTTGTCTTTTAAATGAACAGTCACAACTAATGAGGTTGTGTGTACAGTATGTGTATGTTTGTGGCTGTTTCAAGCTGATACACAGCAATTAACCTGGTAACCTGGAGCAAAATCATTTGTCAAAGTTTCAATTAATCAATTTGAACAGCCAAGCAGTATGAATGTGTGCAAAAATTAAAGATCAAAAATGTTAGCTTTTAACATCTTAAAACTGTCAGAATAAACATCCTAAACACTAGTTCAGTTTCCATTGGATTATTGATTTTGAAATTTCTGGTTCTGTAACTACATAAGTGAGTAGAAGATGAACTAACTTCCAAGAAGAATTAAGTTAAGGATGAAAAAATATTTTCAATATTTAATCAAGATTGGTGAATTATTTTTGTTTTGAACAACTGTATAGAGTAAAAAAAAAAAAAGGAAAGGAGCACCCCGAGAGATATGAGCTCTGCAGTAACTTTTACCAAGGTCTTAATTAATTAGCTGTTTAAGGCTATGGTTTGCATTTATCTATCTAAGCTTTATAAATACTCTGATTCCTCAAATCTTGTCCCAACAATAACAGCCATGGGCTCCTCTAAGCAGCTGCCTAGCATTCTGAAAATATAAATATGAAGATAGCAAAGTGTTGTCAGGTAGCCAATTTCTAATTCATAATGTAATTTAAAAATGGTAGTTAACAGGAATGGTGGCAGCGAAGTTGAAGGCTGGAAAACCAAGAAAATTTTCATAGAGAACCGTTTCTAAATCACACCCCCTGTTTAACTACAAGAGAGCGTCTGGAAGATTTAGCAGCCTCTGGAGTGGTGGTGAACTGTTCTACTGTGCAGTGACACCTACACAAATATGACCATGGACGAGTCATCAGAAGAAAACCTTTCCTGTGTCCTCAGCATAAAATTCAGCATCAGAAATTTGCAAATGAACATCTGGACAAGCCTGATGCATTTTGTAAACAAGTCCTGTGGAGTAATTATGTTAAAATAGATCTTTTTGGCTCCAATGAGAAATTGTATGTTTGATGAAAAAGGGTGCAGAATTTCATGAAAACAACATGATCTCTCCAACTGTTAAGCATGGGGGCGGATCCATAGTGCTGTGAGCTCTTGTTGCAGCTAATGGGATGGATGGATGGACTAATCTTCCAAAAATAAAATCAAATAAAATTTCTGTATTACCTTACACCAAAACAACGGATCATAGCTCTCAAGTTACTTATTTTTTTGAAAAGTTTCTTTAGATGCTCATGGAATGTTCTTAAAAGCTTTAAAATAATATTTACAAATATGATTCTGATAGAATATACAGTGGTACCTCAGTTCTCGAACTCATTAGAACTCGAATTTCTTAAAAGTCGAACCAACCAGTTTGAAAGAAATTTACCTAGAGCTCGATCTGAATCTCAGAAGTCAAACCGTGAACGCTGACCTAAGATAACTTGTACACGCGGGGAAATCAGTCATGTGGCATGTCTCTCAGTGGAAACAAAGGGTGACGCTTCAGTCTCAGCCTCACATTCGCTGTGATAGCATCGTGCATGTAGCTGAATACATATATTTAGACAGTAAAAATACATTTAGACAATGATAGACAGTAACAGTAATTATTATTATATAATAAAATACATTTAAAAATAAAGATTTCTTATTAATTATTTTAATATTAATAATAAACCATTAATACATGTAATTATAATAATATTGTCGTGCCAAGCGGGGACGGAACAGAGACAAAGGCGCAGATGTCAGGGTATCGGGGAATACGGGGTTTAATTACAGGTAAGGCAGGCAAAACGCGGATGGAAAATACAATGACCGGACTGGGGAAACAAACTGAAACGCGGACAAAATACAGAGGACTAATGACAACAACCAGAAACACCTGATCACACGGGGATCCCACACGGGGTTAACGAGGGGGTGTGGCACACGGAAGAAGTGGACGATTGGGGCAGGACACATTGTTTTTTTTAACTTTACACATTGTTTGGATACATTTATTTTCTTACTTTACAAATTACTGTATTGATAAATGTGCTTAGATGTGTTTAGTCCAGTATATGCTCTTCTTGTTTTATCCGGTTCATTTTGTGTTTAAATGCAAAAAAAAAAATAACATATTTAGGTGTAATTTTTTGGTGCCGGGAACCAATTAGGCTTAATTGGTTTTCCATTATTTCTTATGGGGAAAATTCGATCAGAACTCGAACTTTTTAGAATTCGATCCGGAGTTCTGAATGGATTAAATTCGAGTTCTGAGGTACCACTGTATTGCCACATTAAATAATTCAGTTCCTTCAGGTCTTCCACAAAAATCTGGTTAATTTAATTAGATTCCTTAGATTAAGCATAAAAAGATGGATTTTTGGAGGTTCATCATCAACCTTTTTGTTGACAATATTAAACATTTATGATTGCAATATTTTTGGAATTGACAATTGACATTATGGTACCTGTATCTGTCCTTTTTCTAGAAAGCTTGCCAAGTCAACCTTCCTCCTTGTGTCCCTCTTTGGTTTGCAATACATTCTCTTTGCATTCTTCCCTGAGAAAGTCAGCGACTTAACATACAAGATATGGAACTTTGTGGAACTTGCCCTTGCATCTACCCAGGTACAGAATGTGTATATGTTTCCCATGGATAATGAAGTGCTGTTTGGATATTTACTTTGTTCTTTTCTTTGTTCTAGGGCTTTGTTGTTGCAATTCTGTATTGTTTTTTAAATGGAGAGGTAAGTTGTCACTTTTATATTTTTTCCAGTACCTTAAGGAGACTAGGCCCTTTTTAAACATTTTGGGATAGATATTGATATCCAGACTAAAAAAGACATTTCTGATTTACCCTGGCTACTCACCCCTCTCCTGCAAGGTGCAACACGAGTTCCAGAGGAAGTGGAGAAGATGGAGGTTGATGCAGTCACGTCAAGGAGGCAGGCAGTATAATTATTCCCTTAGCCAAAGCGGTACCCCCCTCACACAAGTGTCTCTGCTAACTCGAGGTCCTGCTGCCAGTCAGTCCTAGTATGAAAAATACACCTTGTGTTAGCCTGAAAAGCCATCACACAAAGTTCTGAAAACTGGTAGACATTGAAACAATCTCCTTCTATTAGGGATGTAACAATACACTCAACTCACGATTCGATAAGATTCACGATTCTCTCACAATTTTTTAACAGAATGAGCTGCAGGCAAATTTATTAAAAAATATTCCTTTAATTAACTTTCTAAACTATGCAAAATGTGTCCTCTTAACAGTGCAACTGAAATTGAATAAAATACTGTTTAAAAAAAAATTATAATCAAAATCAAAATAAGTTTAAAAAAATCTTCAAATACTGTAAATGGTAACGCTTTACATTAACTGCACCTTCATAGTGCTTTTATATTGCATTCATAAAACATTCAGTACACCTTCATAATGTATTAAGTATTCAGAAATCATTCATAAACATCATGCATGTATACCTTTACATCCTAACATCCCTTAACAGCTTTAATATACATTAATAACAAACATTACACGATTATACAATTATAATGTTTATTATTAATCTATATTACATCTGTTAGGGGATGTTAGGATGTTAAAGTGTACTTGCATACTGCTTAATTATGAATGTTCTATGAATGCATTATGAAGGTGCACTGAATTTTCTATAAATGCATAATGAATGCATTGTGAAGGTGCACTTAATATAAAGCGTTACAAAATAAACTAAGGCTTGCATGTGCAGCTTTTTAGCGTGGTTTGCCCTTTTAATAATCTTCGCTCTAGCGGTGGTGAATTGAGCTCACTGTGGTGCCAGTGGACATGCTGAAGCATGTTCGTTGTGCTATTTGTGTATATTATCAGTATGTTACAGTGTTTGCACGCAGATTTTGTCTTGTCTGTGCTTTCTAGCCATTTTCGTTTGTGATTACCGGAAAGCTAAAATGCTGCCACACCGCCGATTTAAGATCGGGGGTGTGTCCTCAACTTCAAATTCGCTCGCCATCTCGATCGCATTCGGATAAAACCAAAAACTAACATCCGACGTCGAATTGACGTCGTGAAATCAAATGTAATATTACACCAGTTTTCTGGTAACTGAAGTACAGTGAAGTACTCCTACAGTAGTGATTCATTTTCCAAATCAGCCGGTTTAAATCGTCATACACATTTACATCGATTTTAACCAATTCGCGGTTCATCGTTACATGCCTACTTTCTATTCATCTGTACGTGTTACATTTACCCAGAGCTGTTGTATGAACTTATTCCCTAGTTCTCCAGATTTTTTTTTTTTTTTTTTTTAAACATGCTCTTTTCCTATATAAATGTCCATTTTAGTTTTACACTTTCATATCGAAGTGGCACAGTGGTACAGTTAAAGCACTTTTCCTGATACCTCCAGGTTTGGGGGATTAGACTCAATTTATACTCTGTGTGTGTCTGTGTGAAGTCTGTATACTTTGTACGTATAGGCTACGTTCACACTGCCATGCTGAAGAGACTCAAATTGGATTTTTTGCCTTAATGTGACACAGATCTCATCTCTTCAGGGCTGTGTGGACACGCAAATCTGATCTTTTCAAATCGAATTTGTGCCACTTTCATATGTGATACTAAATCGGATACGTATCCGATTCGCGGCCATGCGACCTAAATGTGAACTAGTGATGGGTCGTTCTTGAACGATTCGTTCATTTTGAACGAATCTTTAATGTGACTCGGGAAGAACGAGTCGTCTCGTGGGAGTGATTCGTTCAGTCGCGGATGCGCATTTGCGCAACTTCCTATAGTTTCTGTATTGGAATTACAGTAAAACTGGTCTAAGTCGCCTGCTTGTAACTCGTCAATTTGCACAATTCGACGCTC